ATGCTTGACGAAGCCCAAAGTGCTTTACAGAGTATGACGATAAATGAGGAACATAATTAAAATATGTTAAAACAATAAAACATGAACAGTGATACTACTACAAATGTATAAGCCAAATTAAAAGGATCTTTAATTTACTTTTTTAAATTCCAATTGAGGTTGCCGTTCTAAGATCAAATGGGATCTTGTAATGCACTCTAGGTACTTTTAAAAGTGAAACATTGGAGGATCTGAGTGTCCTTGCTGGTTGATAACATGAGAGACAGTCACTGTACTAATGTTGAAAGTGCCTAAAAGAGATTTTAGCAATTGGTACACATGAAATGAACTAAACCAATTTGAAATACCAGATATACATTTTCAAATGTCAAATCTTTTCTGCTGTGAAATGATTTGATCCATCAATGGATCAATTGATCATGGAAATAATCATCATGTGCAGCCCAAATATATACATTTGATTGATCTGTAACTAGAGCTGCCACACCAATCTTTATTTTTATTTTTTCTCCGTTTCACCAGGTAAGGTCACTGTTTGTTCACTAAATCACCCCAAAGTACTTCAGTACGCAGAGGAGGAAGCCAAAGCTGCTGCTGACAGTCTTGGGGCGTTCGTCCATTACCACCGTCTGTACCAACACTGGTGGAGCAACCCCACCCAGATCCAGAGCAGATGTTCCCTCCCATTAGCTGACTGCAGTCGTGGAGAGGAGGTGGAGGAGAAAGTGGTGAATGGAGAAGGTGATGTCTCTGAGTCAGGGGAGAGTGTCAGTCCGGAGACGAGGACATTTGATGACCTGGACCTCGGTGCGTATGGGCTTCTGTCTGAGCGTCACGCCACCTGTCAGGCCTCCCAGAGGTCAGTGAGGGAGATCCAGGAGCGGATCGCAGCCCTGGTGCTGAGGCACAGCCGGGCCCAGGTAGGGCAGCTGGACTCTGGGGAGAAGGAGGCCGCAGACAGGCCTCTGCAGCTCTCCTCCAGCAGAGAGGGCTCTGCTGATGCTGAGCAAAGGTGAGGGCTCCGTTACTGATGATTACTGACACATTCGTGGGTCTCTTCATATCATGTTTGCCTGTGGAACTATAAAATATACCATTCAGTACTCTTTTAATTGATTTACTGATTTAATTCCAACACATGCAGTATCCAAATGATGCTTAATGTCTAAATCTCTACAGTTTAAAATGACATGGCGTTTAGTTGACTTTGTAATGACATTTTATATGACATACTAGGTGATTAAATTCAGCAGTTTACATTTTGAACATTTCAGGTGTTCAGCTGATCTTGTTGGATTATATGGATTGTCCCATTAAGCTTCTGCATGTGCTCTCCCTCAGGCCTGAGGAGCAGGAGACCCTGCTCTCTCTGTCGACCAAGATGTCAGAACACCAGAAACAGCTGGCTGACCTGCCGAACACAATCAAGGTATTTCATTATTGTTCATTAAAAACCAAGTTATGTTATGACTGAAAGGTCTGCGGTGCAATACTAAAATATCGATAACGACACAACTATCAGTACCAAACAAGCTGACTTTATCAAGTGATTTAAGAAGGGTTTCATTTCTAATAACTCAATTATGTTCCTGTTCCCTCTCAGATGTATCCTCACCCCGATGTTGTTGAATGCTGTCTGGTTCTCCTGCACATCAGCAAGTCTTCGTCTCTCTCAGAGTCGCTCCAACAAAAGGCCAAAGATCTGCTCCGCAAATACGGAACAAATCCCTCCGTCCTCAAAACTGCTCAGAAATTCCTTACCTGAATCTTTCATTTAAAGACTGAAAGAAGCACTTCCTTTGTACAGCATTCTTTTTTTGTTGAGTAAAAATAAACTTTGATTCTACTTCCAGAAAAGCCTGAAAGTCTTCTGTAAGAGCTGCATGCCCATTTTCTGTCAGTATTTTGACCTCGAGTAAAAGATGTGGTTAAACTGCCCAACACTAACGGTTCAAACTGTTATAAATTGATAGGTAATTATTTAAACATGCTTCCAGCTGCTTGTCTTGTGTAAAGATTTGATGCTTTGCTCTAGTGTTTCAATAAATGTTATATATCTTTGGGCAGTGAAGGTCGTGTGGCTTTACAATTTATGGCATGAGATTTTACTGACAAAACAAATATGTAAAAAGATGGAAACTATTTGGCATTTTTATGCTTGATAAATTGTGTACAGAAAGTTGATACATGTTCTGTCTTGTGACTGATTAGTCCAATTGTTGAAGCCCTAGTTTTTTTATTTTAAATGCGAGATTGCAGACATGTTTGGCTAAATCTTGCATTACGTCTCCTTTACTTGAAAAGCCATTGAAACAAATGTTAAACAAGCTGCGTGTCAGTGTGCGACTGGTCAAAAAGATTGAATACTTAACGTTTACATTCAAAATACAAAACAATTTAATATACAACTGTTTAAAACAATGTAGAATGTAAAAACAACAGCAACCACAACATCTGTAAACCTGGTGGTGGACAGTTTGTCATGGTGGGTGAATGTACAGAACCACAGTAGTTTCCCATTGAGACACATGCATAACCAAGCACAGTTATACACTTCGACGCCCACTGTTAAAAGTTTCTGAAAGTGGAAAAGAGCTAAAACATTTTTATTTTCATCAAAATTATACATTTTAATTTACAGGCCCTTCCAACATTAACTTAAAAAAATGAAATCCCTGCAACAAGAGACGAGTCCCGCTGATGAGAAGGATATTCTGAACTGAACAAACTGACTGTTTTTGGCAAGGTTTGGTCTGAAATCACAGTATGATGGAGGAGCTGGTCCCATGCTGTTAAAGAAGGGGAGGGGGGGGGGGTCAATAATGCTGTGAAACAAAAACAGGTTTAAAAAATGGTTCTGAATATGTGGCCATATACTCAGCATGGAGTGTGTCAGTCCGGAGACGAGGACATTTGATGACCTGGACCTCGGTGCGTATGGGCTTCTGTCTGAGCGTCACGCCACCTGTCAGGCCTCCCAGAGGTCAGTGAGGGAGATCCAGGAGCGGATCGCAGCCCTGGTGCTGAGGCACAGCCGGGCCCAGGTAGGGCAGCTGGACTCTGGGGAGAAGGAGGCCGCAGACAGGCCTCTGCAGCTCTCCTCCAGCAGAGAGGGCTCTGCTGATGCTGAGCAAAGGTGAGGGCTCCGTTACTGATGATTACTGACACATTCGTGGGTCTCTTCATATCATGTTTGCCTGTGAAACTATAACCTATACCATTCAGTACTCTTTTAATTGATTTACTGATTTAATTCCAACACATGCAGTATCCAAATGATGCTTAATGTCTAAATCTCTACAGTTTAAAATGACATGGCGTTTTCTTTATGGCATTATACTATGCCTTAATTTAGTTGACTTTGTAATGACATTTTATATGACATACTAGGTGATTAAATTCCGCAGTTTACATTTTGAACATTTCAGGTGTTCAGCTGATCTTGTTGGATTATATGGATTGTCCCATTAAGCTTCTGCATGTGCTCTCCCTCAGGCCTGAGGAGCAGGAGACCCTGCTCTCTCTGTCGACCAAGATGTCAGAACACCAGAAACAGCTGGCTGACCTGCCGAACACAATCAAGGTATTTCATTATTGTTCATTAAAACCAAGTTATGTTATGACTGAAAGGTCTGCGGTGCAATACTAAAATATCGATAACGACACAACTGTCAGTACCAAACAAGCTGACTTTATCAAGTGATTTAAGAAGGGTTTCATTTCTAATAACTCAATTATGTTCCTGTTCCCTCTCAGATGTATCCTCACCCCGATGTTGTTGAATGCTGTCTGGTTCTCCTGCACATCAGCAAGTCTTCGTCTCTCTCAGAGTCGCTCCAACAAAAGGCCAAAGATCTGCTCCGCAAATACGGAACAAATCCCTCCGTCCTCAAAACTGCTCAGAAATTCCTTACCTGAATCTTTCATTTAAAGACTGAAAGAAGCACTTCCTTTGTACAGCATTTTTTTTTGTTGAGTAAAAATAAACGTTGATTCTACTTCCAGAAAAGCCTGAAAGTCTTCTGTAAGAGCTGCATGCCCATTTTCTGTCAGTATTTTGACCTCGAGTAAAAGATGTGGTTAAACTGCCCAACACTAACGGTTCAAACTGTTATAAATTGATAGGTCATTATTTAAACATGCTTCCAGCTGCTTGTCTTGTGTAAAGATGTGATATATCTTTGGGCAGTGAAGGTCGTGTGGCTTTACAATTTATGGCATGAGATTTTACTGACAAAACAAATATGTAAAAAGATGGAAACTATTTGGCATTTTTATGCTTGATAAATTGTGCACAGAAAGTTGATGCATGTTCTGTCTTCTGACTGATTAGTCCAATTGTTGAAGCCCTAGTTTTTTTATTTTAAATGCGAGATTGCAGACATGTTTGGGTAAATCTTGCATTACGTCTCCTTTACTTGAAAAGCCATTGAAACAAATGTTAAACAAGCTGCGTGTCAGTGTGCTGGTCAAAAAGATTGAATACTTAACGTTTACATTCAAAATACAAAACAATTTAATATACAACTGTTTAAAACAATGTAGAATGTAAAAACAACAGCAACCACAACATCTGTAAACCTGGTGGTGGACAGTTTGTCATGGTGGGTGAATGTACAGAACCACAGTAGTTTCCCATTGAGACACATGCATAACCAAGCACAGTTATACACTTCGACGCCCACTGTTAAAAGTTTCTGAAAGTGGAAAAGAGCTAAAACATTTTTATTTTCATCAAAATTATACATTTTAATTTACAGGCCCTTCCAACATTAACTTAAAAAAATGAAATCCCTGCAACAAGAGACGAGTCCCGCTGATGAGAAGGATATTCTGAACTGAACAAACTGACTGTTTTTGGCAAGGTTTGGTCTGAAATCACAGTATGATGGAGGAGCTGGTCCCATGCTGTTAAAGAAGGGGGGGGGGGGGGGGGTCAATAACGCTGTGAAACAAAAACAGGTTTAAAAAATGGTTCTGAATATGTGGCCATATACTCAGCATGGAGAGTGTCAGTCCGGAGACTAGGACATTTGATGACCTGGACCTCGGTGCGTATGGGCTTCTGTCTGAGCGTCACGCCACCTGTCAGGCCTCCCAGAGGTCAGTGAGGGAGATCCAGGAGCGGATCGCAGCCCTGGTGCTGAGGCACAGCCGGGCCCAGGTAGGGCAGCTGGACTCTGGGGAGAAGGAGGCCGCAGACAGGCCCCTGCAGCTCTCCTCCAGCAGAGAGGGCTCTGCTGATGCTGAGCAAAGGTGAGGGCTCCGTTACTGATGATTACTGACACATTCGTGGGTCTCTTCATATCATGTTTGCCTGTGAAACTATAAAATATACCATTCAGTACTCTTTTAATTGATTTACTGATTTAATTCCAACACATGTAGTATCCAAATGATGCTTAATGTCTAAATCTCTACAGTTTAAAATGACATGGCGTTTTCTTTATGGCATTATACTATGCCTTAATTTAGTTGACTTTGTAATGACATTTTATATGACATACTAGGTGATTAAATTCAGCAGTTTACATTTTGAACCTTTCAGGTGTTCAGCTGATCTTGTTGGATTATATGGATTGTCCCATTAAGCTTCTGCATGTGCTCTCCCTCAGGCCTGAGGAGCAGGAGACCCTGCTCTCTCTGTCGACCAAGATGTCAGAACACCAGAAACAGCTGGCTGACCTGCCGAACACAATCAAGGTATTTCATTATTGTTAATTAAAAACCAAGTTATGTTATGACTGAAAGGTCTGCGGTGCAATACTAAAATATCGATAACGACACAACTGTCAGTACCAAACAAGCTGACTTTATCAAGTGATTTAAGAAGGGTTTTGTTAAGGAATAATTCTTCTAGATATCTAACCTTTTACTCTGACATATGTTATCTCCTTTAAGGAAAGGCCTTGGTGCCATATGTGTTGTTGTCCCCAGTGTGAGACCGGTCAACTTGACTGGCACGTAGGGTAATTGTTGTGAAAACACTGAAGCACTTCTTTATCGGTGTTTGTGGGCTCTCGGATGTGAAATCCTTGAGGCCATGAGCGTTGGACGCAGATGATTCAGTGTTTAGTCTACTCCTTCAGAGATGTTGATTTCTCTCTGTGAACCTGTTAAAAGGTCTAGCATAGAGAGAGGCAGTGGCGGCCGGTGGTCTTTTTTTTTGGTGGGGCTCTTGACGTACCGTAAGTGACCTACCCGGGGGGTCCGAGAAATGACCCCTTAAATGATGACTTCTGGTGATGTTAGAGGGGGGGGGAAAGGAGAAATCGAGGCTTAAAAATATGAGAAGACTGATCAATACCTCCATAATCTTCAGTGTGGAAAATATTATTTATCAACCTGAACATCTACTACTTTACCAGGAATTTGTGTTCTCAGAACTGGTCTGTTTTTTTCTTTCTTAAAACACCTTCACCAAGTAGCTTTACAGTGAACTGCATGTGAGATATAAAATTAATAGCATCTTTTCAGTAGCATTAATTATAAATATTTAAGTGGTTCAATACAAGTCACTACAGCATTTCAAACTGAACTGTGAATAAATGCAATTTAAAAAAAATAACCACAGCACAAAATGTCATAAATTGTGTTTTTTCTTTGTTTCTCTGAGGATTATTTACAAACAGGCTTATTTACATATAGCAATAACTCAGAAATGAAAAAGCTACATCGTCTAACACGAACAACCAGTTAGCATAATGATAATATATGTGTTATGTACAATGTAACTGGCAAGGCTAGAGCAAGAAAGAACATAAAGTTTGCAAAAGGTTTAAATAACTTCAAGTATCTGTCTTCAGATTACGTGGAGGTTTTAGTCCGATGGGAAGCAGATTTTAAGCGACACCGAAGATAAACCAAAAATGTGGTGGAGCTGCAAACCGTGTAGTGTTGCTGGGACAGAACAGGAGCTATAACCGTTGGAAAATACATCACAGACAATGCAACAAACGTGGAGACAGAACAATCACTTCTGTGATAAATGCCCACTTATTAATAAACTTCTAACAACCATGGGAAACCTCCTCTCTACATATAAAGTGATATCCAAGCATGGGAAACAAAAGACAGCATTTACCTGTTTGCATCCAGCTAGCCAAGCCTTTCTTGTGTACCAGCTACTTGTGAAGCCTCGTGTATAAATGTTGTCTTTTTCACGAGATTGCTGCGATATATTCAAATCGGGTTGGTCCGGTGCAAGGTCTTTAAGCAACAATTTATCTGCCAAACTTCTCCTTTCGAAAGGATTGGAGATTAGCTCTTGAACAGAATTAGGCGCGGACCGAGGTCCGGAGACTCCACCTGCACACGAAGCCATCCTCATCAACTACTGCGTCAACCGGATACGAGTCACTGTCCAAACTACTCACAGACTGCACTGGGCGCTGACATTGGCGCCCGGTGACCGTCATCTTTGACGACGCTGATTGGCTGAAATTATATTTTCGCGGCATAGTTTACACGTTACAGATAGCAACAGTCAGCTGCTGGTGGCTGCTGCTGTACTGGTTGAAGGCTCCTCTCTTAGCGCCCAGACGAGAGAAGGTGCATGGGCAAGGCCAGGCAGGAAACATGTGATTTATCAGTAACTTTAGACATCGTAACACAATTTTAAACGAGATTTTATTGTAGATTATACATTTTACTGATACCAATTATATAATATTTACCTTGTTCATTAAAAATAAAAATAAAAACATATATATTTTTTTAAACATATTTTTTTTTTTTATTTTAATTTTAATTATTATTTATTTTTATTTTTTTCAATATGGGAAGAGGTGGGGCGGCGCCCCTAGCGCCCCTATGGACCGGCCGCCACTGGAGAGAGGTTCTTGAGAATTGACGTGGCAACTCTACCGTGTGGTCAGAACCTCTGACTCTTTGATTTGTGATGTGAATCCTCCGGCCGAATACTCTGAATAAACCCATCAGTGTTTGACATCAAAGCTCCAACTCTCACCGTGTCTCCTTCCTGAGTCGGTGACTCCATGCATTACTACACAGAAGTTTCCTCCACAAATTGGCGTTGTCGGCAGGATACCAACAGATCTTCAGAGACTGGTAAGTGTGATTTCAAATCTACATTTGGACATTGCCTTACCAGAATCTGTGATTGACGGTATCCTAAAATTATCTGTGAAGCTAAGCGGCTGCGTTTCGTTTTGGTTAATGAACATTTGGGGCTATTAACCCCAGGGGATCATCCAGGGACTCTGTCCTGGCTGGTTCCCTCTGTGTGTGTGCTGCTCGGGACGTATGTGCCGTGCAGGCATACACGGAGATGTTTAAAAAGACCTTAATGAGGGCAGCAGTAAAGTGGAACTTCTGTGTGAAATCAAAATAGAGATTTGTAATGAACAAATCGCCGAGATTCCGGGGGTTTCAGCGGCCAACACTATCAGTTAACTAAAGCAGCCATGGATATTACCCCCAGCGCCTCTAAAAAAAACACGGCTCCAGCTGCTGCGGCTCCGGGGAATGTGTGTCAAATACCTCCCCGTATCTGCATGAGCTGGTGAAGTGAACTCAGAGGGAGAAAATCACAGCTTTTGTCTATAACTTTAACTCACACCACCGCCGTCTCTATTAAAAAAAAAGAGACTGTTTAAAAGCGATCTCGTGGCTTGTGGCCATTTACGATGTGCTGGCAGGTGCGAGGTGCGTGCATTACCTGATGCGACAGGCACCCTACATTGCTGAGGAGCTGATGTCGGTCCGGGGTGCATACATAAAATTATAGGCTAATTGATCATGGGTGGGCAGTGGTATGCAAGTGTAGAGCAAAACTGTGTTTCATCGTTGGGATGAACATGATGGGAGGTGTGTAGGCTGGTCGAGTAGGACTACAGTTAACTGTGTGGTTTCGGATAGAAAGGGTAGAGGAAAAAAGTCTATGTGCTCCGGATCGGGGGGGCATAGCACCACTAGAGCAGGGATAGTGGAGTCGCAAGAGGATAAGCTAGTTATTGCTCTTGGACGGTCTTCAGGCACCGATCTAAGGACTTGTATACAAGGGTGGAGGTACGAGTCAAGGTACCCCACTGGATTCCCATTGGGAGAGATCAAATAGTCCCTACCCCCTCTGAAACCTCTTTAATCCGGACTAAATTGAGCTGGATGAACTTTTGCTGTCACGCTGGTGTTTATTATGAGTTCATCATGTTTGTTTGTCTGATTGTTTGTATCAGGGGTCTATATTGGTTTGTCTAACCGCCGTCTTGTGCATGTTTTGTAACAACTAATAATGAATCAGTCCATAGCCAGGGTAAAATAAACTAAGCTTTAGTTAACTCACCAAAAGTAAATGACTTGAGAAAGTTAAATAATATATAGTGTTTTGCAAAATTCTGGTAGTATAGATGTGCTGCAAAATGAAAATAAATAGCAAAAGAGTGTTTTTATATCCTGCATCTGAGTGTGCAGAGGAAACGTAAACAAGGAGCACACTGTTCAGGGTGTGCGCTGCATCTGAGTGTGCAGAGGAAATGTAAACAAGGAGCACACTGTTCAGGGTGTGCGCTGTAGGTGTAAGAAGAAAATATATTACTTTTAAGAATACATTCTTAAATTGTATTGCTGGTATGTTAAGATATGTTTGTGACCTTTTATAAACCCTATGCCCCGTCCTGCACCCTGAGACCCTCAGAGGCATCACTGCTGGTCGTAAAAACCCTGCCTGAGGAGGTCAGGGTGGCAAAATCTGTCTGCTGTTTTAGGTCAATATTGTATTATGTTTCATTTATTCTTAAATCTATGTATTGTATGGTAATAATGAAAAAAACGTAATGTATTGAACACATTCCGAAACAAAGCTGATAAGACAGAACTTGACTCAGACATAATACAAATTATTGTTGAAACCTTTTGCGCTGTTGCTGCAAAATGGAAACTTTGTTGATTATCTATTCCAACTGGCCACTGGAATCAGATAATTAATATAAGTTGAAGTTTAATTACAGTTTTAAATATAGTTTAATATTCTTTATTAAACTGCTTCAAATGATTTCTCGTATCAACCAATTGGTCTCCATAGACATTACTAAAATTATAATAGTTGTTAAACTACTGACAAGTTTTCTGAAACCGAGTTTATGAACAAAAGAGTAAAGGTCGCTGATTAAGCCAGGATCAATATATTTGTTGACGTTTTCATTACAGTGTGCATAATAAATGTGTTAAATGAATTGAGCAATTCTTTAAAAAGTATAATGTTGCAATCTCTTTACAATAAGTAATTACAGTTAACAAAGAAGTAGAGGTTGTTTTCCAAGGGCCTCTCCTTCTGTCACGGTTGAGTGCAGCAGGCAGGACCCAAATGCAGATTTCCAAGAATAATTCCTTTAATCCGGTACAAAGTAGAACACAGAACACTACCATGTGACACACAGTCAAATACAAACAATGAACCAACAATGACAGACAGAAAAACCAGAACTAAAATACACACAAGACCAATCACACAAACAAGACACAGGTGAGGAGGGAGGAGAAAACACAGGGGCACCAGGTGAACACAATCGGGCAATCAGGCAGGAGGGAACACAGAGACAGGAAGCAACAGGCACGACGGGGGTGAACACTTTTCAAAACAAAACAGGAAACCAAAGACAGAAAAAGACAAGACAAAATACAACACAGACAGATCGTGACAGTACCCCCCCCTCAAGGAACGGATCCCAGACGTCCCAAAAAGT